CAAAGTTGTTCTCAATCATTTTTTCTAAATAAAATAAAATGATTACTCAAACTCCATAATGAGAAAGAGTCAAATTCGAAACAACAAGGTTGAAGCCGCAACAATAGTACTAATGTCTGTTTACTTCAATGAAGTAGACTAAGCATAAACACAATCAACAGATTGTTATATGTGTTTACCAATGAGTGATGAAGAGGAACGCGTCGTCATTCCTTAGCTAAACTAGAGAAATGTCAAGTTAAAAACTAAAGAATATACATCTTGCATAAAGAATGCCAATAATTAGCTATAGAATTTTAAGAATCATCTTCAGTCCAATTTATAATGATCAAGAAATGAAAATACATTTTTACATCCACAGAAAATGTAATAAATGCCACAGTAACATTTAAATCATTCAAAGGAGATACAAAGTATGACAAAATCATTATGCTAATGAGCGATGATCAGTGTAAGCTTCACACTTCATTTTGCAATAAATTGCCAAGAAAAAATAGAAAACAAATTTTGTAGCCAACAATTAAAAATAAACCAAAGTTCATCATATGCTGTCGTCCCATTCGGAACTAATATCAGAAATCGAGAAAAACATTCGAATCGAATGACCTATGTTTTTCATATAGATTTCCACTTCAAATCACTAATTAATTTGGAGTGCAAAGACACTAAGAGGAAGTAATCTTTAATTTGAATGAATTTCAAAATAATTCTCGAATGTAGCATTCAAGAAAGAACCAAAGTAGGAAATGAAAAATTAAGAAAATAGACATTAATTCACACGTGTAAAAGATTTTTATGATTACTTACAAAATCAACTATTTGATAATAGCTCTTGTAAACGACCAGATCCCAAGTCCTCAAGCACCAAACCATCTTCTTTTTCTTTATTTATAAAGATTCTAATTTTGTAGCCAACAATTAAAAATAAACCAAAGTTCATCATATGCTGTCGTCGCATTCGGAACTAATATCAGAAAATCGAGAAAAACATTCGAATCGAATGACCTATGTTTTTCATATAGATTTCCACTTCAAATAACTAATTAATTTGAAGTACAAAGACACTAAGGGGAAGTAATCTTTAATTTGAATGGATTTCAAAACAATTCTCGAATGCAGTGTTCAAGAAAGAACCAAAGTAGGAAATGAAAAATTAAGAAAATAGACATTAATTCACAGGTGTAAAAGATTTTTATGATTACTTACAAATTCAACTATTAATCAACTATTTGATAATAGCTCTTCTAAAACATCAGATCCCAAGTCCTCAACCACCAAAACGTTTTCTTTTTCTTTATTTATAAAGATTCTAATTTTTGAAATTATTTCTAGTCAAGCCCAATTTTTACAATTTTTTAGTGACAAGAAGATTGCATAATGTAGTGAAAATATGCTAGATTTAAGGGGGAGAACCAGAACCTCCTGCTTTAATTTCCCCAACAAACACTTTTCCAACCCAAAGCTAACATTTCTTAATTCAAACTCCCAAAATAGCACAAACAAAAAGCTTATTCATTTTCCAAAATATGGCATGCAGAAGTAAATCACAACATGCTAGCCCAAGTTTCAAGAAAGTACAGCGAACGTTTTTGGAATCGAACGATTACCTATTTCTTCTTTTAAATCGACGATTTCCTTCGATTCTCAACGTGGGTTTTCGATGCCTCTTGGGGTGGGTTCTGGGTCCTGTAAATCATGAAGCTCTTGGTGGTTTAGAAAATTAAAAATGCAGAAGAAAAAAAACCAAAACTTAGGTTTTTAACCTCGCAAATTGTCGGCGGTGGACATTTTCACTTTTTTTCGATGAAAGTCGATGGCTCAGCTTCAAACGATTCGACAGAAAGAGGGGAGGGAATTGAAATTAAACGTGACTCTTTCACAAGGCCGACCTTGAAAATTTTGAGGTCCTAGGTGACTAATTAATATGAGGCCCTTAAACATAATTCACCTAGCTAATATGAGGTCTTTGAACGTAAATTATTATTATTATCTACAAGAGGAGCACTACTTAAGAAAAGGGAGAGAAAATATCTCACAAGAGCAAGTTGAGACCGCTTGTCGACATTTGAAAAAGAACCTTTCATGAAATATCGATTTTTACTACAATTATGATATCTATACCAGCTAGGCTCAATTACTTACAAGATCAAAATCCCAATAGGACGCCTATTACAATTATATTAAGGTATGTCTTTAGTCCAGTTTCTCCAAACTCCAAAGACTAGTCAATTCAAGGTTGGAAGAATTATCTTTTTCCAATTGTTTTAATGTGTTTTGGCAGCTTTAATCCACCACTTGTTGATCCCTAGGAATTCTAGCAGTGATATTTCGAAGTTTTATACAAGCCATCATATACAACTAAGGCTAGTGAGGATGGAGAATGTTCTAAATGAAAGGCAAAAAATGAAAATCTCTTAAGTTCATTAATACAGCACTAATACATTCATTATACGGAGCTGAAGATTTAATAGGTGCCACTAGCACTCAATAGAGGCAAAAACAGAGTAATAAAACCAAAATATAACAAAGAAGAAACCTAAGATTCTAATTTGCACTCTTTATACAACATACATTTTATTGAATTTAAAGCAGTAGAGATTCTCATTTGCATATTCTTTCTCCTACTAACTTGAATTGAAGATGAATAGTATTTTGATTAGCTCTAGCTAAGCACAAAAACCATCAAGAATCAAAGAAAATGAGATAACACTAGAGAAGGACAATTGAAATTATCAGAAGAAATAGAGTGGCTTGTAAGAGTCACTT